ACTCTGTGGTCAACTTCTACTAAAAGCTGACTATAGCATCATCTTGAAGGACCTAGAGGATCATAGAAAGAACATCATCCTAGGTGTCTCTAGATCAGATCTGTGCAACCTGTGCCCCTCCAGATGTTTTGGCCTCTAACTCCCAAAAGTCCTGGTCATTGGACAAGTTGGCTAGGGCCTATGGGAGTTGGAGGCCAAAACAGCTGAAGGGCTGCAGATTGTCCAGGCCTACACTAGATCATTCAGTACAATTCCACGGTCAGCTTCCAATGGAAGTTGAGCATATAGTCAAACTGGAGGACCAAGAAAATCTTAGAGCACTTTTCTAGGAAAAATGCAATTCAATGGCCAACATCCTTAGGTCTTCCAGCATGACTATGTGGTCAACTTCCAGGGAATGGTCATGGCTGACTGCATATGTAGAAAGTAAAATATTCAATACATATTAATATGGATATGAATCTGATTTGTAATGGTTACTGTGGATATGAAACTACAAATGAGAGGTGTTCAATGCAGAGATTGCATCTTTACTTGGAAGTGTTGGAGCTCAGCCTGTGATTGTGTTTAAGGACCAGGGTGCTTTAGATGTGGGGAGTGATGACAATGAGTTTCAAGAAGGCAATGGTCTGGTCAATGATGTTGATGCAGAAAATGACCTGGAGATCCTTGTTCAAAATGTAGTTTCTCATGAGAATGTCCCTGAAGGGTGTGGGGATGATGGTGTGCTCTCTGAATTGCTACCAGAGAATTCCCATGATTTGGAGCTCAAGAGCAGCTCGGCACCTGGTCCAGCTGCAGAAATTAATGAGCAAATAGATAGATGGGATGTTACTAGTCAAAATAGGAAAGCAGATCAGTGGCTCAGGTGTTCTGCTAGGCTCAAAGAAAGAAAGATAAGGGATTCAAGGCTAAAGCGAAACCAATTTCTGGTCACTTGGGACATAGCTTAATGAGGAGATAAATGTCTCAAGTACAGGATCTGTAGTCAGATGAAGCATTGTTTGGAATCAAGTCAAGATCTTGTTCCTGTTTCTTGGAAGCTTTGCTTGGGAAAGATTCATGTTTAACGTGCCTTTGTTTCATGGTTTTGATTCTTGGATTCTATAATTTTGTATTCACTTGCCTTGGATTCATGTTTCCTGGTTTCTTGGATTTTGTTATAGAAGTTTCTGCCTCGGTTTTTCATGGATGTTGATGGACTAATTCCCTAGACTATTTTGTTCTGGCTTACTTTCCTACCTAATTGGATTTACCTATTCCTTTAAAGTGCTTTTTACTTTACTGCTTTTTAATGATCTTCAATAAACAGATTGCATTTCTACTCAACTCTGTGGTGTTTAAAGTCAGAGGGCTTTTCCTGGTCTGGAGTGTAACAGGAAGTTATTAGAGGTGCAATTTCTAGGCCTGGAGTCCTTTATTTATTTATTTTTATTTATTTGCAACATTTATATGCTGCCCTTCTCACCCCAAAGGGGACTCAGAGTGGCTTACAAGGTATATATACATACAATATATTATATTATTAGCATAGTACAATATCAGTATTAAATATTGTTATATTGTACTATACCATTATATTGTAATATTATTAATAATATTACATGTACTATAAATATATAATTACTAGCTGTCCCCTGCCACGCATTGCTGTGGCCCAGTCTGTTGATCTGGAAAATAAAGTAACGAGAAAGTATTGGTTTCTAATATATGTAATGTCTTCCTGCTTGTGGGTAAACAGTATTTCTTGCTGTTTCTTTGTCAGTGTTGATGTGGAGTGTGTCTGGTTTGCTTACTCTGGAACATGCAACATATAATTGTCCTTCTTCAGGGGTCCCTTTCAAATCTATGATACTATATCAGTGTGTGTGTGAATCATATCTATCTATATCTATGGCTGGATGGCTCTTTGTCAGGAGGGCTTTGATTACGTTTTCTTGCCCTGGTGAAGGGAGTTGGACTGGATGGCCTTGAGTATTTTCTGTTGGTCATGGGGGTTCTGTGTGGGAAGTTTGGCCCAATTATGTCATTGGTGGGGTTCAGAACACTCTTTGATTGTAGGTGAACTATAAATCCCAGTAACTACAACTCCCTAATGTCAAGGTCTATTTCCCCCAAACTCCATCTGTGTTCATATTTGGGCATATTGAGTATTCGTGCCAAGTTTGGTCCAGATCCATCATTGTTTGAGTCCACAGTGCTCTCTGGATGTAGGTGAACTACAACTCCCCAAACTCAAGGTCAATGCCCACCAAACCCTTCCAATATTTTCTGTTGGTCATGGGAGTTTTGTGTGCCAAGTTTGGTTTAATTCCATCGTTGGTGGGGTTCAGAATGCTCTTTGATTGTAGGTGAACTATAAATCCCAGCAACTGCAACTCCCAAAAGACAAAATTATAATTTTTTGAGTGATGGTCACTCCTTGTGTTGTGAGATGTTTTGTTGCCAAATTTGGTGTGATTTAGTTCATTGGTTCTGTTGTTTTTAAGGAACTCATTATGCACAGAGCATTTATATATATATAGATAATATCATATTTTTATTATTAGTATTTCATTGCATTACCAAAAATTATATTGCATTACAAGCTTGGCCCCCCATGGAAAAGTTACTGGTCTTTTTTTTTTTGCTTGTTGTTGTTGTCTATGCAAGGACTAGACCGAGGAGTTTAGATCCCCATAAGACATAAAGAGAAAGTTCATCCAAGTTCCCAGGTTGGCAACGCAAACAAACGAAAGCCTTTGTGACATCTTCACAAAGAGGGAAACTCTGCGTTTGCACTGCAAGGTCAACAGAGTGGCCGGCAGAGAAAACAATCCAGCCGAACCCCAGAAATGGAAAGAGACAGAGGGACGGAGGCGGCTCAGGATGGACACCAACAATGACATCATTGGGGGGAGGATTGGGTCCCTTGCTTTGGTTACAAGGTCCCAGCAAGTTGGTGATGAGGATGTCCAAGAGGAGGGTTTATCTCTTCTTCCCAATTTTCTGTGAACAATTGGTTTGTGAACAAAATGCGAAGCTAGATAGGGCCCTTGTATTTCTCCAGCCAGGCTCTTTGTATACAGCCAGCCCTTCATATTTAAAGGTTTAACCTTTATGGATGTGGTTACTCAAGGGTTTGATTAAGATGTTCTCTCTCTATGTCAACTTCATGGTAAACTGAGTCACATTATAGGACCTAGAGATTCCTACAGAGAATACTTTTCAAGATGCTTTTGGCAATTCTGTGATCAACCTCCAGCCAATGTTGGCCACAGCATCACCCTGGCAGATCCAGAAATTCCTAGACAGATATTATCTTAGGTTTAAAAAAATCCCCGTGTTGTATTTATATTTTTCTCCACTTTTGCAAGGATCCTATGCCCTTAATGATTGTGAAGATGGAAGGTCTGCTATTTTTTTATTTGCAACTTCAGGATTAGATAGTTTAAAGACCCTAAAAACACAAAATCCTGTCTGATCTCCACAGCAAAGCAGGGTTAGCCCTGTTGGTACTTGGAAGAGGATTGTAGGGTCTGTTCCAGATGACGGAACTAGCAGGATCACATCTGGGAATTCCTTACTTAACAAAATCCTTGGAATCACCATAAGTCAACCCGAAGGCATCAACACACAAAACATCAGGGTGATTCTGGATTGTTCTCACTAACTAGAGTTACTCAGCCTTGGATGCCATAGGAAACTATGATTAATTTGAAAGCAAAAGTGTTTGCAAACCAAAAATAAGGAGGAATGGTCACATTAACCTAAGATTCATCCACAATCCATGGATAGTTCAAAGGACCACACAGTTGCCTCTTACTCAGTTGGGCTGGAGTAACAATAGCCTAAATTGGGAACACATCAGCTCATAAGGAAAGAGCTTCTACCAATGGCAATGGAGAAAATCCAAAAAGTGCAGCCACACTGTTGACTTAATGAAGTTTGACATTACTTTAACTGCCACGACTCAAAGTTATAAAATCCTGAGAGTTGTATTATACCTCTTTAGCCTTTGCTACCAAAGAGCACGAAAGGTAAAGGTTTCCCCTTGACATTGTCCAGTTGTATCTGACTCTGTGGGGTGGGTTTTTTTTTTCTTTCGTATCAGGAGCAACTTGAGAAGCTGCAAATCGCTTCTGGTGTGAGAGAATTGGACATCTGCAAGGATGTTGCCCAGGGGACGCCTGGATGTTTTACCATCCTGTGGGAGGCTTCTCTCATGTCCCCACATGGGAAGCTGGAGCTGACAGACAGGAGCTCACCCTGCTCCCTGAATTTGAACTGCTGGTCTTTTGGTCAGCAGTTCTGCTGGCATAAGGGTTTAACCCACTGTGCCACCGGGGACTCCTTGGAGGGTGGTGCTCATCTCCACTCCCAAGATGAAGAGCCAGCATTGTCTGTAGACACCTAGGTCATGTGGCTGGTATGACTGCATGGAGCAACATTACTTTCCTGCCAAAGCAGTACCTATTAATCTACTCACATTTGCGTGTTTTTGAACTGCTAGGTTGACAGAAGCTGTGGCTAACAACGGGAGCTCTCCTGCAGATTCAAACTGCCAACCTTCCAATCAGCATGTTCTGCAGCTTAACGGTTTAACTCGCTGCACCACCATGCTCTAAAGAGCACTAATACCTCACCAAGCTACAATTCCATAGCATTGAGCTGTGGCAGTTCAAGTGGTGACAAACTGAATTAAATCTACAGTGCAGATACACCCAAAGAAGAAAGATGAGCTATGATGAGGAATTTAGAAATGCTATATTTCTTTGGATGGATGCATGCGCCATCCGCATTACTCTGTTTTCCAATTGACAGAATGGATTTTGAATCGTTCCTTTTTTTGTCCAGGTCTGGCATTTTGGGGGCTTTGTTCTTCCTTATGTCCCTTGTCTGTTGAAGATATTAGGCCAAACCTGAAGCATAATGGCTTTGTTTTCCTGGAGGAAAAAGCAGTTGAGATAAGAAACCCAGGGACTGTTTCTCTTCATCCCAGAGGGAAAGATGCCACTTACCCGAGCCCCTTTCTCTGGGAAGCATCGGCATCCGGCGCTGCAGTCTCGTCCCCCACAAGGTCCCTGGTAAAACTTCTTCCCTCCCTAAAAATGGAAAAAATAAGGACAAAAAATCAGCAAGGATTAAGTATATAGACTTCCAACATTGTCTTGGGTTATGCAGCGGCTCAGAAATGGTTGCTTTTATTGCCGTTTTGACAGGCTTGCAAGATTTACGGAGTCCCAAAGCGTCACTTGCAGTTTTTTGGACGACACATCTGAACATGTACCTTTTTAAAAGTCTGGATCATGCTGAGAGATGGAAGGTTATAAAAGTCAGGCTTGTTGACTTGAAAGTTTCCAATTTTTTTTACTGCATACAAAAAAAAGTTATTTAAACAATACCGGCATTAATCACAAGACTACTTTTTGGAAGGAAGAGACATGCACATCCCTTAAAGGTCAACTGATGCAGAGCCAATTCACACTACACAGTTGTGGCCCTTTTATTCCACTTCAATTGCCCCTCATCCTAGTAGATGTCCAAGCTGAAGAAACTGCAAGAGACTCCACTTAGGCAGAAAAAATGAAATGCAAAGATGCAGAACACCTCCCAACAAAGGATCCCCTAAGCAGCAACCAGCAAGGCTTTCAAGCTGCAAGGCCATTAAATAATTATCAAGGTGGCCAGTTACAACATTCACACTTCCCTCTAGCAGGCAAGAGTTCTTTCTCCCACCCTGGACATTATTCCACAGATATATAAATCTCATTTGCCTAGTTTCCAATAGACCACACAACCTCTGAGGATGGCCTGCCATAGATGCAGGCGAAACATCAGGAGAGAATGCTTCTGGAACATGGCCATACAGTCTGGAAAACACACAACAACCCAGTGATTCCAGCCATGAAAGCCTTCGATAATACATTAAACTACCATGTTTCAAAGCTATGGGATGATGGGAGTGTTGGTGTTTTACCAAACGACAACTCCCAGGATTCCATAGCATTGAACCACAGCAGTAAAACTGCATTAATTCTGCAGTGTAGATGCACCCTATGTGAAGAAGATCTGGGTCAAGCCGTTCCTTTAGACAGAGGCCGTTTCCTCCAAAATATCATGTTCAATCATCCCACACCTTCTATGTTTTCTTCCCTTTTCCCTGCACGAAGAGGTCATGAATGAATGAAACCTGAGAAAGGGAGGAAGCCAAGTGGAGCCAGTTGGTGTTCAATATCACACAAGTATTTTATTTACGGGAAGGAGCTGACACCAGACACTCCCAAATTACTTGCATAGCAAAGGGCCACGTGCTCAATATTGATGTATGCAGCTTGTCAAAATCTGTTTTGGTCTTTCCAGAAGGGATCCAAATGTATTTACTCATTGCCGGCACAAAATTGGCGAGACAAGTTCAAAAGGAGACCCAAGGAATTGGAGCAACTTTTGAGTACAATGTAGTCTGCTCTGGTGCCCATGTTGGGCATGCATAAGGACAGTTGGCAGCAAATGTAGTAGTGGATCGCCATTGTGTCTGAGTCCAAACTTGAAAGAAACTATCCAAAACGTTGAATTGTATAATCTATGAGGGTTGAATGAAAAGTAATGCCTCCACCTTCATTACTTGGGTTTGGGTGGGAATATTTTAATAAATCAAATGAAGAAATAATCCTTAGCTCTTTAACTACCACTATAATAATAATAATAATAATAATAATAATAACTTTATTTTTATATTTATTTATTTAGCAATTTTGTATACCGGCTGTTAGGAATTGTGGGAGTTGAAGTCCAAAACATCTGGAGGGCCAAAGTTTGCCCATGCCTGGTCTACACTAACTATATAATGTAGTTTCTTCCTTACTCCTAAGAAGACCATCAAATATCAACAGAGGTCTTATCTGGCTTATATTTAAGATGGACATAAGTAAGAAACTCTACTATAGAAGATGGTTGATTCCGAATATTATTCCTTCTGGTTCTTCATACTGACTTCCTATGGACTGCTTTGCAAAAATGGGATGCTAGATGAGATTAATAAGGCCCAAATTCTTGGCTCGTTTTACATCTCTCAAGTACAAGAGCCCTTCCGAAGGTGGAAAACATGATGTCAAAACCAGCTTTGTGAACAATCACCCTTCTGTCTCTTCGGGACTGGGCTCACTGAGGACTCCGTGTTCCCCGTCACCTTTGGAGGATCGCCATGGGATTCATTTAACATTAGATCCTCCGAAGATTCCAGACTTATCTGATGAGTCACTGGCTCCAGGCAACGTTTGCCTCCATCCCAGAGACGTCTGCCAAATCCTGCCCCATCCGGGTATGTTTGCTGCTGTCGCTTTCCCAATTTCCAACTGGGTTCACTGTAGCAGAAAGCAAAGGCATGCAGACTCTGTCATGCCCAGCTTTTCCCATCTTAAGTTTGATTATATTTGCTACACTTCTTCTTGGGGAGCATCTACACGGCAGAATGAAGGCAGCTTGACACCTCTTTTAAGTGCCATGGCTCAAGATCCAGAGAAGTCATGCTACCCCTCGATTCTGCCTTGGTTAGACCACATCTGGAATACTTTGTCCAATTCTGGGCACCACAACTGAAGGGAGATGTTGACAAGCTGGAATGTGTCCAGAGGAGGGTGACTAAAATGATCAAGGGTCTGGAGAACAAGCCCTATGAGGAGTGGCTTAAAGAGCTGGGCATGTTTAACCCGAAGAAGAGAAGGCTGAGAGGAGACATGATAGCCATGCATAAATATGTGAGAGGAAGTCATAGGGAGGAGGGAGCGAACTTGTTTTCTGCTTCCCTGGAGACTAGGATGCAGAACAATGGCTTCAAACTACAAGAAAGGAGATTCCATCTGAACATGAGGAAGAACTTCCTGACTGTGAGAGCCGTTCAGCAGTGGAACTCTCTGCCCCAGAGTGTGGTGGAGGCTCCTCTTTGGAAGCTTTTAAACAGAGGCTGGATGGCCATCTGTTGGGGGTGCTTTGAATGCAATTTTCCTGCTTTGCAATGGATGGCCAATGAGGTCTCTTCCAACTCTATTATTATATGATTCTATGATTCTAATGTTACAGAATTCTAGGAGTTGTAGTTTGGTGGGACACCAGCAGCCTTTGGCAGCGAATGCTAAAGACCTAGAAATCTCACGATTCTATAACAGTGAATATAAATACATCCACCATTTAATTTTTTTTATTACTCTTTATCTCAAATTTGGGTAATCTTGGACAAGAGGTCACCTTGTCTCAGCCACAAAGGAATGGAAGGGGAAATTCACCTTAGGACTACCATAAGTCAGAAATGACTAGAATGCACACACAGAATCATAGAATCATAGAGTTGGAAGAGACCTTGTGGGTCATCCAGTCCAACCCCCTGCCAAGAAACAGAAAAATCACATTCAAAGCACTCCCGACAGATGGCCATCCAGCATAACAGCATCTCTAATAACAGGCCGGAATTTTGTAATTGTTACTCATTATTAACACTTCATTCATTGCTCTTATTGTGACACATCGGCTCTCCGCATCTCCTTGTAAGTGGTGATAATGAGGGATGCAGATTATTTAAGATGGAGAAAAGTCCATTTTGCCCATCTACGGAATTGTAATGTTCACCAAGTTGATATAAGAAGCTGCCTTCATCTTGTTGCACTTCCAACAGGCAGGAGATAAAATGTGGCAATTTGTGATCTCCTGTCCCCCGACCAAATAAAGGCTGACCTTTCCTCCTCTAAAGCAGTATTTCTCAACCTTCCTAATGCCATGACCACTTAACACAGTTCCTCATGTTGTGGTGACCCCCAACCATAACATTATTTTTGTTCCTACTTCCTAACTGTAATTTTGCTACTGTTATGAAATGTAATGTAAATATCTGATATGCAGGATGTATTGTCATTCACTGGACCAAATTTGGCACAAATACCCGATACGCCCAATCTGAATACTGGTGGAGTTGGTGGGGGGATTGATTTTGTCATTTGGGAGTTGTAGTTCCTGGGATTTATTGTTAACCTACAATCAAAGCGTATTCTGAATTCCGACAATGATGGAATTGAACCAAACTTGGCACACAGAACTCCCATGACCAACAGAAAATACTGGAAGGTTTTGGTGGGCATTGACCTTGAGTTTTGGAGTTGTAGTTCACCTACATCCAGGTAGAGCACTGTGTACTCAAAACAATGATAGATGTGGACCAAATTTGGCACAAATACTCAATATGCCCAAATGTGAACACTGGTGGAGTTTGGGGGAAATAGACCTTGACATTTGAGAGTTGTAGTTGCTGGGATTTATAGTTCACCTACAATCAAAGAGCATTCTGAACCCCACCAAGGATAGAATTGGGCCAAAGTTCCCACACAGAAACCCCATGCTTTGAAGGGACTCACTGGCATGAGCCCCTCCCTGCCCTCGCACACAGTGCCATGCACCAAGCAATCCCGCTCTCCCCTCCCTGCTTGTAGTCTCAGAAACATCCCTCCCTTTGGCTAAGAGGTTTGCCAATCACAGCAAAGGAGAGCTTTTGGTGAGAGGATTCACCATCTGTTTCCAAAAAGGAAGAGAAGGACAGGCGGAGAGATCTCCAACCTTCTCTGCCAAAGGGGTTCCTAAGACCATCAGATATATATGTTTTCTGATGGTCTTTGGAAACCCCTCTGAAACCCTTCGCAACCCCTCAGGGTGTTCTGACCCCCAGGTTGAGAAACACTGCTCTAAAGAGTTCATACTCTTCGTGGTTTTTGGGATGGCATTTTGAGCTCCATCACTTTCTTACCCTTAATGCCAATGTAATTGCTTTCCAACCTCAGACCAGTACAGTTGGCTAAAGAAAAGAGAAAGAAGGACCCATAGAAGAGGTAGGATTTGACCAGTCCCCTTGAGGTCTCCACAGTTTGTCAGTGGGATCTCCCCTGATGTTGGATATGGCAAGTGGTCAATGTTGCTGCCAAATCCTTAGACCAAGCATAGGTCTGTGTGCCCCATTATAAGCAGAATACTCGGTGGAGCAATTTCGTGTATGACAACAGGGGTCAAGCCCTAGATGAATAAGCCTGTGCTTGCGGTCCATAATGCAAACCCTCTGAAGTCTTCG